TTGAAGAGCTTTCCTGAGTGCTGCGGCGCAGCTGGCAAACAGCACCTGCATGCCATAGGTGAGAATAACTTGAACTTGACTTGAACTTGTCTCTCTTCTGTTCCACTGCACAGAAAGACAAGAGGAGAGAAATGTGAACATATGACAGCAAAATGCAGTAGAGACTCACCCACTGAGCTGAAATGAAATGAGTGAACATAAATTAGCTAAATAACATAAATAAAGTACTTTTTATTTAAATTTTTTTCTTTGGTTTCTTGGGATTGGGGTGGGGGTCCCACTGGGGGGACAGGCTGCCCCTCAAGGCAGTGGTTGGTGGGGGAAACACTACAGACCACAGAGAATGATCTCCTGAGTCAGCACTTCCTCTCTGCTCAATGTAGAGTTTTCAAGTCTTTCAGCTCGTTGTTTTAAAGCCTCAGCTTTACTGCTTTGTTCACTCTCATGACTCCTTTGGTTTGTATTGGTTGTCTTTCAATAGGCCTGTATAAGCCAAGTTTCTCTGTGTGCTGCTCCTTTATCTCTGCACATCATTTCTCTGCCAGCTTGTGTGATTAATGGCTGACAGTATTAGTCCTGCATGCTCTGGATTCTAACACCCACTCTCTGTCCTAATGAAAACCATCTCTCCCCCATCAGCAGTGAAAACAGGAAGACCTATGTTTGAGAGAAAAGGGATTTAAAAATAACTCAAAAAATGTTGGAATACCTCAAAGATGCCATGTCTAATTTAAATGTGTTAAGTAGGCTGACTCCAATAATGTTAGATATTGCTGTTCATTTTAGCATGACACAGGAGATCTCTGATTTAAAGCACTCAGCATCAGCTAATATATTTTGTTACAACCCCAGGTTGTTCTATGAGAGAGGGGAGTAACAAATATAGATGATGAACAAGGAGTCAGCTCAGTATTTTAGTCTTTTAATAAATAACAAATGGAGTCTGCCCAATGTCAGTAGTAAATAAACTGTCAAAAAAATAAAAGTTATAATCCTGAGCCTGACTCTCTATCAACATGAAACACAGGAGAAAAGGGGATGAAAGAAAACATGGCACCTCTCCCCTATGGGGCTTCCTGACAAGGAGTCAAAGGTAGTTAAAATACAAAACATATGAAACAGTAACTTATAAATAATAAACAACTGATGATTGATTATTGAAGAAACAGTGGTTATACTCACTGGGTGAAAGCAGACAGCAGAAGTGGCCAAGAGGCCTGGAAGTGCAGCCCCTCAGCATTTATAAAGGCTACCATCAGATTGGCTTCATCTCCCCAGAGTCACCAAACAATAGTAGTGTGGAAGAGGAACTACAGCTGAGGCCCAGAGTATAAGGAGCAACACAGCACATATTAACACACCTTATCAGCTGCATATTCACCTATGAATGATTTAACAAATGTATAAATATTACTACTAACTCATACCACCCTGTATAAATAAATCCAAAACTGTTCCTTTAATTTGTTAAATTTGTTTGCCAAAAGCATCTTGGCTAAGACAATCTTAGCTCATAGACTTTCAATAAAATTTTTGTTGCCTTTTAAGCTTTTCAGAAATGGGCCGTGGTTCTGATGAGTGGAGAACATGTTGTAGCAGAATTGTACGGAAGTCTGTAACTGCAAATTTTAAAATTAAATCACTTAATCAGTTTGACATTTTATTTTCAGTATATCTACATTGTATAATCTTAATTAAAACAAAATCTAACTTAAACTAAAACTAACTCATCATTTTCAGTGCCACTAAACCTAACACTGCCACAATGATAATAAAATAGAATGTAACTTTGACTTTTTATTTTCATTTTCAACTGGTCAGACAATATACAACCTAAACTAAAAATCGCAAATTGGAGTATTGCATTAAACAAAAATGAAATTTTTCATAGCAAAGTCAACCATATAAAATTTACCTTGATGGAAATTACCATGAAAATTACAGTGTGAAAGTCCAGTTTGCCAATAATGATGCATTTTTAAAAGTAGTAGTAGTAGTATACTACTAATATACTCTTTTTAATACCGTTGGAAGTAACACAAAAAGTAAAAATAATCAAATAAGTGAAAATTCAACTGGACTGAATCTACTAATCTACTTTACGTTTACATCTTTGTGTTGCTTTATGTTACTGAAACAAAATAATGTCAGTTTTTACATCACAGATCTTGTCGCACACATGCTTGTGTTTATGCATCGAATTGACCTCCTTGTGTTAGTGAGTGTGTATGTGTGTCTTTCTAAAATTACCAGTTAGATGCAATCCTCATCACATCCACACCCAAACTGAGAGTCAGTGGCTTCTCTGTAAGTTTGTGTGAAAGCCTCATGGTCTTAGTACTGACAGGCTTGTTTGTGAGACAGGCTGCAGCACTCCCTCCCTGAGCCTCTCTGTTCCTGACATATTACTACTCCTCAGACTCAGACTTCGTTTCCCACACCTCCCCAAAGAATTTCTCATGTTAGCTCTGGGTGATGAGTTTATTTCCACATTCCTGGGCCCTTAAACAACCACCCTATTAACAGGAAGACTGTGCTTATTTTGTAATGCTACCATTACTCTCATTTATTGGCATTTGAAATGTTGGGGAAATAACTCCATAACATCACTCATAGTATTTGTGGATACATAGAAACATGTATCTCTGCCTCTCATGAGTTATATTTGCCTTGTACCCTCACCTCAGTGATCTTCAGGAGGGTTTTAAGATGATGTCAGGTTGTTGTTTTTCAGAGACGTCACTTCAGCTGAGCTCAGCTTGTTGACCATCTGACCCTAACTCCACCCGATCCTCCCGGCCCCTCCTGCTGGCACCAGTCATCACTGAGTTTGGATGAGAATGATCTTGCATAAAATACTTTCATGGTATGGAGGTTTCTAATATTAATGACAGATACATTTTGTAACAATGAGCATAACCTTTAGTCATGTTTGGCTGATATCACTGATGATTCAAACAGATTTACAGGATTTATCTTTGTTCCTGTGCACAATATCGACCACCATGCAGGATGAATCCTAATGTTTGGTGATCCCTGGATTTTTCTTCTAGCACCACCATCAGGCCAGGGTTTCCACCTGTGTCCATGAAGACTTCCTTTTGCACCACGGCCAAAATATCTGCAGTAAGTTGGCTAATTTTTAGCTATGGTTTGATGGTTTGATAAAAAGCCTGCTGGATAATTGCCATCAGGGTAGAAATTAGATTAGGGGAGTCTGACCCACCTGATTAAGAAGAGGTGGGGGGGGGGTTGAAACATTTATATATCCTACTTACCTGCAATTTCAAATATAATAACATATTTCTCATATTCATGCCAGGAAAAATCTTGTACTATGATTTCATACACCCCTAAAGTGGACCATACCATTTCATAACCTTGACATTAGTTGAACGTCTTGTCTGCCTCACACTCCATCAATGGCTAACGTCTCTTGTGTATTGCACGCACAAATTGAGACATTGTAGGTAAATGTAGCAGTAGCTAACTATTTAGCTTTTTTAATACACTTTACTTTCATACCTTCGGAGTTTCTGAATTAGACTGTGTCAAGTATCTATGGGTGTACAGATCCCCATGGTTCACAGATGATGACTGCTAATGACTATATTGATCTCTGACCTTTCGTCTAGCTTCATCATTATGTCAAAAACTCCCTGTACACACTGAAATGCCTGAACATTTGGGAACCTGCAAAATCTCTTTTTCCATTTGAGTTGGCAAACAGTAAAACTCTGGATCACAGCCAGTCTAGTCAGGAGTTGGACAGACCTGGTTAGTCAGTCTCAGCTGGTAAACCTCTGTCTCCTCCTGCTCTCTTTTATCACCCACACTATGTATAAATATAGCTAAATTTAAAATTTAGTTGTTCTTGTTTACATATTATTGCTTCTCTTGTCAGACTAACTGAACAAGCAGTTAATAATGAGTTGATCATGGGTCATAAAAGCTACTTGTTAACCATACCAACAATAACAATAATTCCTGTGCTTCTGAGCTGAGATTATTCAGAAAAAACACGACATCACTAAAACTACTACAGCTACTACAACATCACTGTGGTGCATTGTCAGCCACAGTGTGTTTGTTGGTGATACTCCTGAGAGTCACCAGAGTCATGCATGCATCCTACAGATCAGGACTTTAGTGGCTCACCTTTCAGCCCCAGGCCAAAATCTCAGCGTCATGAACATGTCACTGATCACAGAAGGTAAAAAGTTCCCACACAGGAGAAGACAAACTGTGTCATCACACCAGTCATCTGAACTCCATCAATCCTGCCATCCACCATGCACTTCTGCAACATCCAGCATAAAGTAAATGATTCTACCTGTAACTTTATACATAGATTATATGAGTTGTATGTTTTCTGGTAAACTTTCACAACAGCCTCTCAGCTGGACATTTTTACAATATTCACCATTCAGTAATGTTTCTTTGATTTGTGTTCCAAGCAGATTACTGAGGGCACAGCAGAGGACTGTGATTCCAAAGTCAGGGGTTCTCTGATTTAGGCAACAAATGCATTTGGGTTAAAGTTAAGAAAGTTAATAAAGATATTTGTTTCCAACAGCCTCTGCATAAACCAAGACCATGATCGTCCTAAACTTAAACAACTGCTGCCTAAACATAAGAACGTTTAAGAAAGCTGCTGTCACTAAAAACAGATGATGCTATTGCATCACGACCTTTGAATATTTGGATAGTTTGGTGGAAAACAATTGAAATACGTTAAATAATAACGTATTCAATTGTTTTCCACCAAACGTTTTACTGATATTCACTATCAACATCTCTAGCCTACGTTAATTAACAATTAAGAAACTATGTTTTCAGAATTATGTTTCCTTCATGAAGTCTGCTGTTGTAAATTATTGTACATAAAACATTTTCTAGGAGACATATCGTGACAGCAGGTGGATTTTCGTTGCCCCCCAACCCTGTAGGTCCCGCCTACACACAGTGCTGCTGCCATTTCGTAGAGGACACAAAGAAGACCAAGTATCCCTGACTGCAGTCGGACGAGCCGCGCCCCGCTGTCGGACCTACAACTTGAAACACTTTTTTCTTTTCTCTTCACCTGGGTGAAATACTTTGTTTCCCGCTGCGAGTATGAGTGTGGCGGTGGCGGTGGCGGAGGGCTGTTTTCTATCCGCCCTGCAGCCCAACTCTTCCTGCACCGCTTATGTGGTTCCCTCGGGCGGCCCGTGTCCGGACCCCGTGGCTAAAGCCAGGAGAGTCCAGGAGCAGGTCCGGATGCGGCTGGCTGAGAAGAAGTCATCCTCCCTGCCCAGACTGGACGACTCGCTGGTCGGATCAACAGGTGAGCCACATCCCGTTGAGATGGTTGGCTTCAAATTCGCCCCCGGTGCTTTGTCCAAGACATTAGCAGGTGATAGTTATTAAACTGTTATTACTATTACAGTTTACATGGAACATATGTTAACCTCTATTCAAAAAAAAAAAAAAAAAAACCTCCGGTCCAGGCACCCTGAGGGGTCCTTGAGGGGGTTCCTGGGTTGAATAATTTATTTTCATTATAATTCCAATCATGACAAAGTCATGGGTTTCAAACACTTTCTAAAACATCTAAAAGCAAAACTTATCAGAGCTGGGTCCGTGGAATGAGACCATATCAAAAGGGGGTCTGTGGTCTAGTTTGTTTCACTTTTGGGGTCCTTGACGTGAAGAAGTTTGAGAACCACTGTCTTCATTGATATAAATGGGGTCGAGAAAATAATAGAATACAGTTTAACAGCATCACAAACTGCAGCCATCATCATAAAGCTGGAAAACACCTCTCTGAAACAACATGCATGTTGTTTTGATAAACTAAAGCAGCTGGTGTCAGACCACTAAATGAATATTAGGCAACAACAGACAGGGTCACCGGTGATAAAATAAAATTCTAATAAGTAATTAAAGGGCAAAGTTAATGGTGCAGAAAATTAAAAAAGAAAGCAAAGACTGGGTTAAGGGGTGTACTTGAAAGTGGAATGTGAGTCAGTTCTGTAGTTTATTTATGGCCACCGCCTATAGATCGCACTCTTAACTGGTTCAGGCTTACACTTGGTGTCCTAATTTCACTCTCACTCTCTTGCAAAAGTTAGCTGAACCCCTCTGAAACTGATCGACCACAAGTTAGACTGTGAAAAGAGTGAATCAATAAGCCTCACCACTGGAATGAAGGCTTGAAGCTGCTTTGCTTATTTTTTTTGGCACGATGAAACAAGTTGTAAACACAACAGGGACATATTATATGTTATAAAGTTGTTGTGGTCAAAGCGTTAGCCAGCAGTCGCCCATTTAAACATCCAGCTGATACAGAGCAATGTGAGCATGTTGAATCTAAGTCTAAAATCCAGTCTCCTTTATCTTTGTTTTAGCTCATACCAACTCCTGAGGACAGTATCTGACTCTTATGGTGTTAAATGCTTCAGCCTGTTCACCAGCTTGTGGGAAACCTTGTCTGTCTGCAGCCCTGTGCCGGACAGGCAGTGTACAGTAGGTTTATCAGGGGCTTTTGTGCTGAAAGCTGACTGCTGCTGCAGGAAATGAGGTTAAAGAGAGTAATGTTGTGCTCTGTAGAACCAAAACAATGAGATGACAAATGCTAAAAGGTTTTGTGGAGTTTCGGGTTACAGCTCTTGATGGGTTCAGCACTGCGAAGGTATTCTTTGACGTTACACAGTCACTGTTTGTTTGTAGTCTGTTGTCAGTATAAAATATTGATTAGTGCAACTGTGGAGTGGAGGGAGGCACGGTGGGGCAGTGGTTAGCGCTGTCGCCTCACAGCAAGAAGGTTCCGGGTTCGCGTCCCGGCTCAGAGATGCGGGGTCTTTCTGTGTGGAGTTTGCATGTTCTCCCCGTGCCTGTGTGGGTTCTCTCAGGGTACTCCGGCTTCCTCCCACAGTCCAAAGACATGCAAATGGGGACTAGGCTGATTGGATACTCTAAACTGACCATAGGTGTGACTGTGAGAGTGAATGGTTGTCTGTCTCTGTGTGTTTGCCCTGCGATGGACTGGCGACCTGTCCAGGGTGTACCCCGCCTCTCGCCTGAAAAGATGCTGGGATAGGCTCCAGCCCCCCCGTGACCCTACTAGAGGATAAGCGGTAGAAAATGAATGAATGAATGAACTTTGGAGTGGAATTTGTTTTCCAGCGATAAAGACCAAGGTACAGAGCAGTCATTTAATCTGCAAAACATCTAATGAACTGCACAAAACTCTCAACAATTCTTTATATTTAAAAGACTGAAACCTGTGAATATAAAAAAAAACCTAAACAGTTCATCATCAGACTTTTCTGTCAATTGTTTAGCACGAGTACAGACTGACTTGTGGGTGAGCTGAACCATTGTTCTTTCTCCTATGACTTCACCAGAATCTAATATCCCCATAGTGCATTTGTTGCATAACCGACACTTAAGTTTATGGTAACCTTGTCATACTTGGTAAAATTGTTTCATATTCTGCAGTTCTGGCTTTTGTTCCTGCTATATTCCAACAGAACCAGAGATTATAATAGTGTCATGGTAACAGATAGATGCTTGTATAATATTTTGTGTCGTAGTTTTATTCTACAGGGACTGTGACAGGTCTCTGTGCTGAGGGTGTACAGTGTTGCACATTGTAGTGTTTATCAAGACTGTCCTCCTGTAAAAAATGAGCCCATAGGTCGTTTGTGCAGCAGGTTATTACGATCCATAGTTACGTTTTGTTGCTAGGCGACATCTAATGGTCGTAGTAATTATGACAGGAGCAAAGGGAAAAGCGCAGTGATGTTGTATAAAGAGAGACAAAGTCCATGTCAGGAGAAGGTTGATGTGGATTAATGAATCAACAAAAGGAATAAAGGAATATGAGACAGGAGAGCGGTGTTTGATTTCCATGTGAAACCATTAGTTTAACAATCGTCTAGTGTTGAGGAGGTACGTACTTTAACCCAAATCATGATCTTTTCTTGAACTTAACCAAGCCATGACCATTATCATAGTAACCATGGTGACGAAGGTATGTATGCCACTGCTGGTATGGTCGGCGTGTTTATTATTGTAACCATGACAACCAAGGTCTGGTAGACTCCTATGGGTTGTATCAGGAGGTTGAAAAAAGTACTTATATGTTGAAGGAGTTGTTGTTTTTATCATAATATTATTTTCATGTTTATATTCTTATGCAGCCTATGGTGTAATCACTGTACCATGAACACCTCATTGTTCTTAAAGATGTAATGAAATATGACTCAACATCTTTTCTCTGGGGTCTGCTTGTAAGTTTGACATTCATTCACCAAGCAGCTCAGTAAACATTAAACTGTCACACAGTTTATTATGACTTTTGTCCTAGTTAAAGATGGAACAGTAGGTATCATTTTTAAGGTGTAAAGGGCATTTTTCCTTTTCTGAAAACAGTATTCTGAGTGATGACCACATCACTCTTTGTTGCAGTCTCGCTCCACTTTCCTGATGTAACTGTACACCACAGAGAGGCTTTAGGTTTTGATCCAGAGGGAGAAGTCATACCAGCAGAAGGGACTTGGCTGAAAAAAAAACATCTGAAACCCTTTAAGCAATTCCTGTTACTCATGTCAGTCGCTTAAAAATAAATTCAGGAGAAATTCCTATTGTTATCTATCGAGGGGGGGTGATGGGACACAGGGTTTTGGGGTCGTGGATCGGTTACACTGTGGTAGGAAATGCAGAAAATAACATTTTGCTTCATTTCCTTCAGAAAAAGAAACATGGTTCTTAACTTAAAAGATAATCCACTGAAATGCTGACATATGGCCAATAAAGAAGAAAGTAAGCAAAACTCTACATCAGTAATCCTCCAAACAAAAACACTCCGACTCTTCAGTTTACCAGGGTTTAAACAAACAGTCCTGATGATGTCATCAGGGGTCATCTCTGCCTGGGCTTGAAAATTTTTAACAGAAAACATGTGTCTCAACTGGAGGTAAAATAAAGTGTGACAGAAGTGGGCATTTAGGAAGCATGGAGGGTGTAATGAAAGACGCTATCCAGTTGCAGCATGGGAAATGTAATGTTTCTGCTCAGATGTAAACCTAACTGGACAGGATTAAACTCATTTATCAGTAATTATTTTGTCCATAGGATGCACTGAACAAAAGAAAATTATATACATAATTCAGTGTCAGGTACCAATGTGTGTGGAGTGAATCCACATACCACTACAACACTATTATTCATACGGTCAAGATCAATCCTCTCAGCATAAAACAACAACAGATGTTACAGATGTGGGAAATCTGTTACACAGGCTTTATGCAGGAAACTCATGTGGAATTTGGGAAATTCCACTTCATCATTACTTTTTTTTTTACTTTTAGAAAATCTCGCTCTTACGGTCACTTGACTCAGTGATCAGCTAAACAGACTGTCCTGCATTGTGTTGTGGGCTAACTTTAGCTCTGATAATAGATGAAACACATGGCAGGAACACAGGAACAGAGCTGTAGCATCCCTGTGTTAAAGCTAAACATGCACCAGGGGCGTGTACTTGTTATTGGGGTCCAGTTCATCCCAAGACTGCTCTGAGGACTGACACATCACAGGACTCATGGCCAAACCATTAAGTAATTTCTCATGAATGTTCATCAGTTTATTCCTAGATGATTAAAACGTCAGCTGGCTTTATGAAGCCATTGATTATAACCATAACAGTTCTTGATAGGAGATGAAAAATTTATAAATGAAAACAAATGAAAAATAATATTTAGAAGTGCATATAAACATTAATTCAGAATATTGATTTATGCTTGTGTATTGTTCATCTTATACACACACTATTTGTGCGCTAAGACTACCTGGAAATGTGTTTCCTGTTTTTTTTCCTGACTATGGAAAATATAATGATGACGGCAGGAGTTCCAGTCATGGGATGGTTTTGTTTTATAAATATTCACATGTTGCACAAGAACTGCTTTCCCATTATGACCCAAAATGTATTAAAGTGACACTTCAGTACACAGATCAAAGAACACCTCCTGGTCTCTGTCTTGACATAGGCAGATTTATGTAAGTGGCCAGTCGTCCTGCAGAGTTCAGATGATGCACATCTGTCTCAGTGCAGACCGGATAACAGGCTGGATCGTCTGTCTAAGAGGAAAGTACAGGAGAGGAAGGAGCAATCCCTCCCCCTTACTACCGCTACCCCTGCCTCTGTCTGATAAGACAGCAGGGCCTCAGTTTGACCCATGACGGAGTCAGGATGTTGCATGAAAGCTGCATGTAAGCTTGTGTGAGATCTGCTCTAATTAGTATTATGACCAACTGCATATCTCCAGGTCATCATGAATTACTTTTCATTCAACTGAATCTCCTTTTGTTAAATAATAGAGATGTTCCTATATCATCTTTTCATTCATT